CCAGGTCTTCGCACCCGCACTGTAGCATAGGCAGTTTCACTTTTGCTATTGCAGAGGCACAGAGATCGTGCTGGTCGTATACCAAAGGATGCTGGAGCTGAATTATTTCTACAGCTTCCTTTGCCTGACTAAAATTGCTCCCCTTTTCAGATGCCTGAACATGCATATCTCATTAGGATCACTTTGGCGCACTGCGGCACTTTGGCGAGAGAAAAACTAACAACCTACGAGGCGGCTGTAAAGAATTCAGATGCCTGCAAAAGACGCATGTCATCAGGATCTCGGGCTCGGCGCATTTCTTACGCAACCATTTCGGCGTCAAGCTTTCCGACTGTCGTTTGACCTATGCGGAATTTTGCCGCCCTGAGAACTCAACCCTCTTTTTAAACAACAAGGGCTTCTCGGTGACCTATTTAGGGTCTGAGTAACGCCCCAACGCTTGCTCCAAGTAGGGTTTGTAGGACATTTTGGCTAAGTCCATAAGGGAATGTCTCTCCGGCGATTGAGTACATTTTTCCAGAGACAAGTGCCTCTTTAAAGTAGATAGCCTATGAAAGACACGAATGCAACCGCCTTGAGGACAAATAATACATCCTGCTGCATGGCCACCATCCATGGAAACATCAGCAGACGCTTCCGCGGTCACACCCGTTGATAATGTAACGAATGTTGAGGTCGCAGCGTTCGTACTTTTTCAGAAAGTGAGCTGGGCCGGGTTGTTCAAAGCCCGATTAAGCTAACCCAAGATAAGCTAGAATTCTGATGTGAGTTTTTTAACTTTGCGGTGAGGTTATATTTTTATATTGTTTGGCCTTTAGTTCTATGTTTGAAAAATATCAAACTACACAAAACGTAAGAAGTGAACTACACGTTTATACCAGAAAAATTCACACTTCCGCTAACTTTTAATCCTGGGTTAGCGTTGACCGCCTTTCGAACAACCCGACCCTGAAGTCTCCTTTAGGGAACGATGCTTCCAGCAGAAATAAAGAAAAAACGATGTCTGACTAAATCGCAAAAGAAACCCTTGACCAGTTGACAAAGCTAAATAATAGCATTGTAACAGCATCAGTTCATTAGAATAACACAGAGCCTACAAGGAGAAAGCGTAGGGGCAATCTGCAATCCCTCCACAAGTGGTTCACAATCACGCTTCTGTTAAGCCTTCACTGACTTGACTCGTGGCTCCCAGCCACGTTCATCTACTAGTATGTCACCCCAGTATGTGTCGAAAGAAAACTTGAGATTCTATTAAATACGATTAGCATTACAACCAGACCGATTGCTTGTTGGGCAATGCTAGATTACAATGTGCAACAGCCTTTTCCGGTTAACTGTTTTTCCACTTATCCACGGTCAATGCAATACGCGTGCCAAGATACTCAGGGAATCATATGGCGTTAACAGAGACCACTCAATCCTCCAGGGCATACGGGTATCCGAAATTTCCGGGAGAACACCCCCC